AATGAAGGGTACTGCTCACATTCCACGAGATAATATAGTATGTGAAGCTGATTGCTATAGTTTCATTCAAATAGGTTATTGACAGAGGGGTTCAATCATAGCAGAGAAAGCAAGTCGCAGATTGTGCAAGGTTTTGGGAAATGTCAGAGTAGCAAGAGTCGGTCTACATCTTCGGCTTCGTTGATCAGCTGGCTCTTGGATGATCAATACCTTCGCAAGATTTGGTAGTCTGTCCGTTCACAACGCCGGCTCGTTTCCCAACTACTCCATATTTTACCACTGTCTTAAGCATACTACTCGGCACTTTGCCCTTTCATCATCATACCGGCCCAAATCTGTACCAGCTAGATTTTGGCGGAGGTTTCGCAAGATTTGGGCCGGTTCATCCCAACAGTGGCTTACTTCGCAGCTCATTCGCACTTCGCGACCGGTTACACTCTCCCACCCTCACCACATTCTTCTAAATTACATGATTTATTCTCTGAAAAATCGGATTTTGCGTAATTATTTTTTCCTATTTGACTCCTCTTGTTCTACGGATGTGAATATTGTTTCTTGCCCTTAACGTTTATAAACATCCTGATTGCTTCAGGCTGTTCTCGATTTTTTGGTGTTTGCCGTGCAAATTTTCGATTATTATTCTTCACGTCTCTGTGAGTCAAACGGCGAGTTTTTCATCTCTTTTACTAATATTGCTCATGTTTTCATACAATTTTCATTTGTGGGTGGCACGATTACTCAAATATATTGTCCTCTCACTAAGTTATTCTAGTTCGACCCGTTTTCCAAGTTGTCGAGCGGTATCTTTTTTTGGATTCTGGCCGTCGTGAAATTTAACTAGCGAGTTGCTTGGCTTTTCAGTGTAAATACTACCATTCGAGATGTCACTAGGGCTCACCCTTTGATAGCCTCTAGCAACTACTAACTGTTTTTTTGTTGGTCTTAGGTTCAACACCTCTACTGTTAGTTTGCTAATTTTATTGTTTTAGATATTATTTTACTTCAACGACCTACTTGCTTTTTGTGGAAATATATTCTGCAACTTAAGCCGGTGAGTTTTTTTCATTTTTATGTACTCGATTCATCAATTACTTTAGGAACAGCTTTTATCTTTGTCTTGTTTTCTATTTTTGCGTTTGTTTATTTTGAGTGTTGGTTTGAAGTTTTTGCCTTCCGTTCCCTTTTATAACTAGTCTTAAGTTTATTTTTTGTTTTCATTGTTTGTTGGACATACCATCTAAAAGGAACAATGTTAGGGATGGAGTATGAGGAAGATTGGGTGTCAGAGTTGTTCGGGTCGTCGTCATCTGCTAACCAGGAGCGCGTTATAAGGAGGAGGGCGAAGAATACAGCGAATTTGGTTACATAAGGTATCTGATAGGCGTTATAACATTACCATAAGGTATTCGTTTCACAGAGTGAAGCTGCAATTCCTTTCAGGGAGGTGGAGGTTAAGCTCATACTAGAAAGATATGCAGACAACAGACAACCATCATTCAGTCGTAGGGATGTCGAAGGAGGGGCTGTTTGTAGGCAATATTGTTTCCGCGATAAGAAGTATCACTGCAGATCGCATCTGATCGCAGGTCAAAAAAAAAGAGTGAGTGATAGCCGAGTTGACGCAAGACTTCATCGCACTAGGTGGGGCCAAGAGAAATGAGCGGCAGGTGAAGCAGAAGATGAAAGATGAAATTAAAGTCCTAAAGAGATACGGGAGTGCCTTGGTGAGATTGAGTAATGGTAGAACCTTAATTTTATAATTATGCCACTTTATTGTTTCAGATGAAAGAGAGGGGAAAGTCTGGCGGTGGAAAAGTCACCTTCCTACGTCTGAGCGCGCCTCAGAGTCGGCTCTGCAGGAGAGGCCAAGGATTGTGGGATTGAAAGAAGGGGTGGAGGTCGGCCAGAGGGCAGTAAAGGTAGTTTTTACTGCGTTCTATGGCGATTGAGATGAATTTTTATTACAGCGCAGAAGGCTTGAGTCTCTCTCGCCTTCGTCTTCACCGTCCCCTTCGTACTCGCAGGTATTGTCCCCTTCGGGCTCGCAAGAGAGAGAGTCGGGGAGGGAGGAGTCTGCGAGTACGCAGGGAAGGCAGTCAGCGAGGAACGAGATCTTGCGGCAGGAGCTGGAAAACCAGCAACTCAAAAAGGAGCTGATTAATAAAAGGCCCCACCTCGCCAACTTGAATACTGGACCAAGAAGATACAGAGTTCAAGAGTTGATCTACGCTAGCCGATACTCATTTAAAACTTCATTTAGCTGGGCTTATGTGTGTTCATTATTGTTCTTTTTACATATACATGCGCTCATATATAAATGGTAATAGTAAAGCATTGTGTTCAGAAAAGAAAGACAACCCAAAGAAACATGTAGTGTGAGTACAATGAAGTAAATCATTTGCGCAAAGGAAAACAATAGGCGAAGCACTCGTTGTACAGATATATAATTGGTAAACTCGAAATTGATTATCTGTTTGAAATTTCTCAGTCTTTGTTTGAGAAGTAGTGGCTAAAAAAATGATGAATATTGCTTAGTAATGTAGTATTTCGTAGCAGTGAGTAGTAACTAAATTATCAGGTAGTCAGTAGAATTTATGTAGATTATGTAGCTGGTAGTGAATTGGTTCTTACTTAAAAATAGCGTGATAAGAGATCGTTGCTGGAACGGTTGGCACTTCTTTCGGGGACTTCATGGGAAGCATCGGACGGAACCTCTCTGCCTTGCTGGTCCCACCCAGTGTAGTTGTCAAAATCAATTGGTTCGTTTCACTTCGGTTCGACTTATTGCAATGTTGCGAAGCCCGTAACATGTCGCTATTACTCGAGTTGCTTTCGCTGTGCTTCGCAATTACTCGAGTTGCTTTCGCTGTGCTTCGCAACTTTCTACGATCGCTCATGTACCACCCCTAACTGTGTGGTCTGCCCAACCGGCCAGGAAGGCGACTGTACAATCGCAGGGGTGGTCTACAAGATCACATGTTGCAGTTGTGGAGAGATATATATCGGCGAAACATCAAGCCCGCTGTGCGTACGCATCAAGGAGCACGTAGAATGCAAGGTCAGGTCACGCATGTCAACTGCCTTAGGCGCCCACAGGGTGGAAGCTCATTATGGAGCCGACTTCGAGGTCACGGCCGAAGTCTTGGCACGAGAATCGCAAACACTCCTCGAAAAACTCTCGAGGCATTCAGGTTTCAGGTGTGAACCGGAAGGAAGAGTGTGTCACAATCACGCGAGAGCTGAGGCCGTATATAAGGTTGACATTCCACCAGTGAGCCTGAATCACATCTAGTCCGAAAAGCTTACTGGACCGCTGCTGGCTTCTAAGTGGTCGCGAGGATCGGACTGATCTACGGTAAGTGGCCCAACTTACAAATACGTGATGACCTCTGAGGTTTCGAATTTCTGTAAGGTAGTTGATGCGTTTGGTCGGGTAATCATTAATTGCTACGATCTATCCAGGCTCTGAAGAAGGCGATCCACGCCGAAACGTAAGCCGGAATAAAGTTTTCTTATCAACCTCGTCCGAGTTCAAGCAAAGAAAACCAACGTTTGCACTATGCCGAGGTTTAGAGATAGCCGTACATGGCGATTGTGTTTAAAGGAGTTGGCAAACTTATGTACGGAAAAGTCGCTTCTCACCTACGTGCGAAAACTCGGTGCCCACTGTGCTGTCCATATCCTCCATTGGAAAGTGAAAGGTGAATAGTTGAAGATGTATGATGATAGCATCAGTGAGAATGTCCAATGTCTAGAGAAAGAAGCATGTTGTTGAGCAAAAATTATGTGTATATCATTGGTTGAAATAGGAACAGCAATAGACTGAGATGTTTCGATGCGCTGACTTGGAGAGAAGTATATCTACCAAATGTGTCAGTGATATTGAAGAGGAATAAGTTTCAGGAGAGGTAAAGCCGAGGGCTGCGGTGTGGGGGTAGGTAAATTAGTAATTGAAAGGATGCGCAATTATATGCAGGATTCTCGAAGTGGGAGGTTCCCAAACCGAGGATGGAGCAGAAATGTAAAGGTTGAAGAGTGGAGGAACGTATCAGACTGTAGGTTTTTGTCCTACATCTGATGGTGTAGCGGTAACGGGTGTTCTTCTGTGATACAATAGTCTTGCCTATATATGTTTATTACTAATATAACATTACAAATAGAACAAGGGGAACGGGTCAGGACGAGGAGGCCATACGCCCAGAGCGATGATCCACGGCGGCGGAGTAGAGCAAGTCGATCTGGCTGTCTCGGACCGGCAGCTTTTATATCGGTCTTGTGCGGCGTTGTTTAAGTGATTGATGGCGAGCACATAATGCGGCGGTAGCGAAGCGAGGACTCGACATCTCCATTCCTTACAGTAAGCTCGTCCTCGAGCTTCGATCGTGCTTCCGGTATGGCACAGGCACTCTCATAAAGCGTGAAGCTACATAAAACAGATGAGATGCATAGTACAACATTTGTGCCATTAACGAACATTGTAGTAAGAATGTTAAGTCGCAAGCAAGAAGAGGCGGCCAAATTTGTGCCGGTGGATGCATCGCATTGAATAGAATGAACTGTGAGTTCGGAACGGCTAAGACAGGTAGATTTCGTTAGATTTCGGCTAGGTGTCGCCATTCCTTCAAAAGATAGGCTCGTCCCCGAGCCAGAAGTGGTGAGGCGTGAAGAGGGTGGGGGAGGGGGTATCTTCATGATCGTAACTTGATGTCTAATAAAAGATACAATGTGTACATGTTTTTTAATGGTTATACAATTGTGACTATGATCATGAGAATGTGGTATAGGCATTTTTCTCTTTTTTTCGATCATCATAGACGAATATGAAATCGTAGAGCTACTGATAATACTAGGATGATAAAATGAGTATGTGTTATCCATCATATTGAACGAATAGCACTATTGTGATACGTAATATTAGTCTATTTGAGCCTAGTGCGACTAATATACGAACAAAGTGGAAATACTGTGATTCGAGTACAAGTCTATTGACGGCACACTAGTGTCGACTAGTACAAGGGCGTAATTATGACTTTTGGTGTAATTGAATTGAGTGAGTACGCTGCGAAAATGTTTTCTTTGAACCGCCAATTCAAAGAATTTTGAAAGTATTCGCGGCATTCGGCGGAAGAAGAATGGAGACTCAAACTAACCACTGGAGACTATTTATGGACTTGATAGTCTCTACCATTATTCGTATATTCGTGTCACAACGTGAGCTCGTTTTTCCTGAAGACGATGTTAAGGAGTACAGTTGGTTTTTCTATGTCGTTTGATGCTTTCGAGATTTGTGGTAAAGTGTGGTGTTTGGTTTGTGGTGGAAGGATCAACAGACATAGAACGCGAAAAATAAATCTTAGGGCGATAAATGTGAAGGGCGACCGACTAAATTCTCAATAGTCGCATTAAGACGATCGACTTTAGTTACAAAAGGGCTTTTCCATTGCTCAATAAGTTTTGAACGAACCGTGTCGTCATGCTAAAGAACGAGATTTCCAATGGAAATGTCCATCGAATATACCTTGTTGAAATTTCGTATCCAAGCTTGTACTGCGCCGTCTTCAAAGCGATTTCCCTGCCGACATCCATAATGGTGTCTTTCATGCTGGTCGCAAATTGATCAGCGAAGTCGTCGGATGCCCTCGAGCTATTGGAGAGAAGTTCATGGAGAATGTCACTCCATGTTATTGGAAATCTTCCGCGTACGATGAAGTATGGGCTATATCCTGTAGTTTTATTTATGCTGGAATTGTATGCAAAGACAATGGGTTGTAAATAATCAGACCATAAGTCGCGAGCATCGGTGCAATACGCTGTGGGAGAGTCAGTTATTACCTTGACAAGTCTCTCAGCTTGTCCGTTTGCCTTATGGTTATAACTAGTTGTGAAACAATTACTAATTTCTGGTGATTTGTTGATTTTTGCAAAGACTGCGCTAGTATTTCGATCCACGATCAGAGACGAGTTCTTTCGGAATTCCATGAAAGATTCAATTACTGATCCTATTGTATGCTCTAATAGCTGAGTACATATCACGAATTTACTAAAAGCGCATAATGGTATTGATATAGACTTACTTCCATCCATACTTGCGGTAGAGGTCCCATTACATCTATAAGGATTCGCTCGAACGGTCGTTGTGTATTTAGGAAAACTCCCATTCGTTCACGAATAATATGAGTTGAGGGTGTTTTACCCCTTTTGGCATGCTAGACAGATGCTTATTTATGTCGTTACGTGTTGTAGATAGAGAACCGCTAAATGGTGTTCTCAAACTCTTGAGGAAATTCCTCAAGATCTTCATTGAAAAAACTCAATATACGACCGTGTTTTGAATTTCTCTGACTCTCTTGAATTTGCTCAAGAGACGGAAAAGACTGCGCCATTACAAAATTTGCGTTCGGTTGGCGCAAACTGCTCAAGAAATAGCAGTGTGTTTTCTACTTCGCTGCGCGGTACTCGATTGTTAGATCGTAAAATTGGATTGTTATTTGATATTTCGCCAGGCGTCCTACCAAATCCGATCTATGCATTAACTGTTTAAGGGACGCATGATCCGTGATGAGGGTGATTCGCGCATTCGCTATATATGGGTAAAATTGTTTGAGTGCGAACACTATTGCTAAAGCCTCTAGTTCAATGACTGCGTAGTTCCCCTCATATTTATTCAGAGATCGACTAGCATATGCAATGGGTTGTTTTCCCTGGGTTTGCGCATTAGTCTGTAAGGGACATGCGCCTAAGCCAATGGTGGACGCTTCAGTATGAATGATATAGGGTTGTCCAAATGTAGGAGGAATCAGAAGAGGCGCCTCCACAAGCGCTTTCTTCAGCGCATTGAACGCTTGAAATCAGAACGCTTTGCCGGTATCTACGGTGAACCTCCATTGGTTCTTGTTGGGGACCTTTCTTAACTAGCACTATTGGAGATGCAAATTTGCTAGTACTTGGTTCGATAAGATTTGTGCTTAACATTCCCTTTATTTGAAGTTCTAATCCCTGACGTTTCTCTTACGGTACCCGGTAAGGGCGTTGCTTCGATGTTCTCGGGTGTGGTACAAAGATATTGTGCGTGATGGGCCTAGGTATCCATCATTACCTACAAAACAGTCACTGTAGTCACGAAGGAAGTGTTGGAATTGTTGGAGTTTTCCTGCTTTCAACGAA